GGGATTACAGGCATGCGCCACCATGCCCGATTAATTTTGTATTTTTAGTAGAGACAGGGTTTCACCATGTTGGTCAGACTGGTCTTGAACTCCCAACCTCAGGTGATCCACCCACCTCAGCCTCCCAAAGTGCTGGGATTATAGGCTCAAGCTGCTGCACCCGGCAGGACTCTGCTTTTCGACAGAGGTCAGAGTCTGGTTTCCATGTGTAAGTGGGCACACAGAGACAGTCGTGCAGGCCAGGTGGGCTCTTCTGTGCTCACCCATGTGTTCACAAGCATGCTGTCTGGTACAACTGAGAATATTCTCTAGACTAAGGAAACAAAAGATCTCTTTGCTCTTTCTTAAACTGTACTTTCTAGACCAGGTGGTGAAATGGTTTTCTGGTTTTGAAATAGCAAGAAACTGGGGCTAAAGGCTTGTAATTTTAGAATAAATCCTGCCAAGCCCATGACAGTGTTGCCGCCTGTGCGTGTGCTGAGGCTGAGACATCAGAGCGTGGGTTTTGGAGTCAGGTCAGAGTTTGGCTCTGGACTTACTGGTGGCGAGACCTGGGTCTAGTTAGCTGCTGTCCTGAGGCTTGGTTCCTTCAAGTGTAATGAGGTAAGACAGCCCCTCTCGCAGGCATTCCCTGACGCGTGGGTGTCCTTCCAGAGGGCCTCCCATAGCACACAGCACCCAGTGGGTCCTCAGCTTCTGTTGTTTTTCTAGATGGAGGTTTTCCCTGGTACCTGGCTGTTTTCTCCTCTGAGTTGAATGAAGTCTGGATTTTTAGGCCTTCCTTGACTCTTAGTGTTATAAGGTTCTGACGAGGGACAGCCCAGAACATCCCGCTCTCATCCAGGAGCTGCAGGCTGTGCAGTGCACGTCCATAACTGCAGGTCCTCAGGACCTGGAGGACAGGTTGCATCTAGCGGAGCACCCCCCGGACAGAGTCCACTGTGGACAGAAACCCACGCCCAAGACTTGTGAGCAGGCTGACCGGTGCGTGGGCTTTTCTGTGGGATCTGTTATGGGAAAGTCAGGGTCACGCCATGGAAGGCTTAGTGGCCTGACCTCCTGACCGAGTCAGCTCCTCAGCCTGAGTTCAGGGGCTGCGTGGGCCCAGCAATGTCTCTGTGCCAGCACAGGAAACACTGAACTCTGGAAGAGAGGTGCTCCAGGAGGGGTGGAGATGTCCCCCACCCAGCTGGGGATCCCTGCCTGTACCGAGCACTGTCAGTGATGGGCAGGTTTTGAGCGCCAGGAACATCTGGGAAGTCCTGCTACAGACCGGGCATTGGAATTCAGCAGAGAATTGCCAGCAGGACACTAGATCTAGTTCAGCTGGATGAGGCAGACAGAAGCAAGCACGGTGTGCTATGATGAACACCAGGCTGGGGACCAGGAGCCTGTGGGTGCCCAGAGGTGGAAGGAGCCTGGTGCACACTCCCAGGGCAAGGGGAGCCTGCCGTGCACTGGCTCTGTGGGGTACAGTGGTCCCTAAGACAGGATGCCTGCCTCTACAGCATGAGTGGGCAGCAGGGGCTCAGCACAGACGCCTTGCAGGCAGGAGTCATTGGTACCAGCATTTGGAAGCTGTGCTGCGTGATTCTGTGCGGAAGCTGGTAGTGCTGTCCTAGGCAGTGTTAAAATTGCCCTGCAGTATGAATGCAGGCCTGGTCCCCAGCCCCCAGCTGTTGCATGATAGTGACTAGGGGATTGTTTTTCATTCAGACTGAAATTCGTTGTTCTTTCTTTGTTAAGACAGATTCAAAATCTGAAAAATGCCAACTTTTCCCCCCTAGGATCTTTACCTTATATAGTAAATCTCTGCCCCTCGACCTGGCCTGTCGTATCTGGGACGTGTTCTGTCGCGATGGGGAAGAGTTCCTGTTCCGCACGGCCCTAGGCATTCTGAAGCTGTTTGAGGACATCCTGACCAAGATGGACTTCATCCACATGGCACAGTTCCTGACCCGGCTGCCCGAGGACCTGCCTGCCGAGGAGCTGTTTGCCTCCATCGCCACGATCCAGATGCAGAGCCGAAACAAGAAGTGGGCTCAGGTCAGCTGGGCTTCGTGTTCTTCTCTTCCCAGACCGCAGCTGGCATGTGGCATGACTCAGGAAGGATCCTACGTAAAGTGCTGTCTGAGGACATAGCCACTTTTGCAGGAGTCCCTGGGCTGGAAGTTAGGGGCACTGGGTGGACGCATGGCTGTGCCACGGGGCGTCTTGGCAGGTCACTTCCATTTTGGGTTTCTGTCATCTGGACAGGGTGTGGATAACGAAAGCCTTCCCTCCTCTGCTACAGTGGTGTTGGGAGGGTCAGCACTTTACATACCAGAGGGTATTTTGTAAACCACACACCCCCTCTTTAAAAAAAATGCCAGGGACAGAAAACAAAGTGGACCCACTTACTGAGCCCTGTGGCCACGCTCTGTGGCAGGCTTTTGTGCCTGTCCTTGAGAAGGAGGTGAGATTATCTCCCTTTTACAACAAAGGGAGCCCAGAAAGGAGGGCACGGGTCCCTCCTGGCTCTTTCCATCCGATGTGCTGCTGTGCCCTCTCTGGGTTATGTGCCCCAAGCAGCGGAGTGGACAGTCTGTATTCCTCAGCTCCTCCAGGCATCCCTCTTAGGTCCCCAGTGGGATTGACCTGCATTTTCTATTCCAAGTCTTTGTCATACTAAAAAGGAAAAGAAAGACCAGTATGGGTTCTTGGTCCTGCATATGCTCAACATTGATTTGAAGTCCTTGTTCGTTGATGTCTGTGAAGACTTACACTCTTCTGTGTGTGCTACACAATGCTTGGGGTTTGTTTGGAGACAGAGTCTTGCTCTATCATGAGACTGGAGTGCAGTGGCACGATCTCCACTCACTGCAGCCTCCACCTCCCAGACTCAAGTGACCCTTCCACCTCAGCCTCCCGAAATCCCTGTTCTTGATTTAGCTTTTTTTTTTTTTTTTAAATTAACGGAAGACTTAAAATAGTTACAGGAATAGAACAACATAAAATAAGGAGTCCCCACCGCCTGTCCCCCAGCGTCCGTGACTGTGGACGCACAGCCGTCGTTTGAGCTGCCTCCCACCTTGCCCTTCCCACCGTATTTCAGTGAGTCCCAGGCACCAGGTCACCTGTTGGCGCTCTTTTAACATAACTGTAACACCGTTACCACTTGGCTACTAATCCTTTCCTGTCATCAGATACCCAGTTTTCAAACTCAGATGTCATAAGTGGCTTTATCCAGTAGTTGGTTGGAATCAAGATCTAAATAGTCTATGCCTTGTGATTAGTTGAAAGAGGCCTCATGCCTCTGTAATAGCTATGCCGCTCCACTTCTCACTGTTTAGCTCTCTCTTGCTTGCCTTTGTCAAAGAAAACAGGTCATTTAGGCCAGGTGTGGTGGCTCATACCTGTAATCCCAGCACTTTGGGAGGCCGAGGTTGGGGGATCACTAGAGCCCAGGAGTTTGAGACCAGCCTGGGCAACATAGTGAGACCCCATATCTACAAAAATTACAAAAATTAGCTGGGCATGGTGGTGTATATCTATGGTCCCAGCTACTAGGGAGGCTGAGATGGGAGGACCATTTGAGTGTGGGAGGTCAAGGCTGTAGTGGGCCATGATAGTGCCACTGCACTCCAGCCTGGGCAACAGAGCAAGACCCTGTCTTAGGAAAAAGAAACAAAAAAAGATTGGTCGAGCCCAGTGGCTTATGCCTGTAAACCCAGCACTTTGGGAGGCCAAGGCGGGTGGATCACGAGGTCAGGAGTTCAAGACCAACCTGGCCAAGATGGTGAAACCCCGTCTATACTAAAAATACAAAAATTAGCTGGGCATGGTGGCAAGTGCCTGTAATCCCAGCTACCTGGGAGGCTGAGGCAGGAGAATCGCCTTAACCCGGGCAGCAGAGATTGCAGTGAGCCAAGATTGCACCATTGCACTCTAGCCTGGGTGATAGTGAGAGACTCTGTCTCAAACAAAAACAAAAACAACACCAAAGAAACAGGTCATTTGTCCTATAATGTTTCCCACTGGGGGAGAGTTTTATGGCACATGCGCACATCACCCCCACACGCACCTATGCAAACACAGTCACCCCACACACCGGTACAGATCACCCCCACATGCACACATCGCAGACTCAGGCCCCACATACATGATACACCCAGACACACAACCAGCCCGTAGTATGTGTGGGTGTGTGATGTGTCAGACACCCACATGCACAGGTCACCTTCCCACACATTGTACACCCCCACACACACCACACACCCACACATACATGTACACATCACACACATCACTGCACATGCACACATCGCACCCCCACCACACCACCCCACATGCACACACACGCCCGTGTCCAGGCGCAGGTCACTCCCTGCACAGGCACACACTCCACACCTACATACACAGCAAGGGATTCAACCCAGATCAGCCATTTTGCTGCTTGCATTTTAGGGACTAGGTAAAAACTATTGGTTAAAACTGGGTCAGAGGATTTGACTGTAGGTCACAGTTATGAATGGGAGGTGATGGGAGTGAGTCTGATGATGTGGGGTGGGGGCTTGGGCGTCAGTGACTTTTATACGGTGCCAGGTCTCATGGGACTTGTCCGTGCACATTTCTCTTAAATCCTTTGCTTAAGGTTAAAACACTGGTGAGCTTTCTTTTTATTTTCTTTCTTTTTTTTGAGACAGAATCTCACTCCCTTCACCCAGACTGGAGTGCAGTGATGCTGTCACAGCTCACTGCAGCCTCAGCCTCCGGGGCGCAAGTGATTCTTCCGCCTCAGTAGCTGGGAGTGCAGGCATGTGCCATGACACCTGGCTAAGATTTGATTGGGTTTTCTTTGTAGAGATTTGTTTTTTTGTTGCTCAGGTTGGTCTCAAACTCTTGGGCTTCCTGCCTCGGCCTCTCAAAGTGCTGGGATTGCAGGCATGAGCCACCACGCCCAGCCATGAGCTTCTTCAAAATGACTCAATGTTTATGTTGACCCAGCAACCCTGTTTACTTAGAGATTCAGGGGGTCTGCAGTCATTGAAACCCACATGAAATGTTTTTGCTTTTAATTGGTGACTCAAAATGGCATCGTTCCTTGCCCCGGGCAGGTAGCACTGTGTTATCAAGGTTCCCTTGGTTTTGAAATCAAACGAGTCTGGGTTTGAATCGTTTTTGTCCTTGGACTCTGAGCACGTCAGTTCTGTACATGTCCATTGTTCAGGCCCCTTCCGTTGGGGCCTTAGCCTTCCCGAGTCTGTCGCGTGGGCTAAGCGGGCACCATGTGCAAAGTGCTGGCAGAGCTCTGCCTGGCAGGGAGCCTGTAAGTGTCGCTGCAACTGTTAAGCACCACAAGGGCATGGAATATCTTTTAGAAGAAGGGTGTTGACCAAGAGCTGTGAGAACAGAGGAGAGAGCAGGCTCTGGGCGAGCTCAGGAAGGCAGGTGAGACGAGCCAGCGCCTCAAGGCCTCCGCAGGAGGTAGGCTGCCCAGTGAAGGAGGAACAGGGTGGCAGGAGTGCAGCAGGATGGGCACAGGGCTCATTAGCATCCTAGCATTCAGGCCTGGGCTTCCTGGGTGGCGACTGCCGGACCCCAGTGAGGCCCACAGCTCTGCTTTGACGTGGATTCTGTGGCTGGCCAGAAGGAGTGTAGCTAACTCACTAGGCCAAAGAGGGCACAGTCGGTGTCCATGTTGGACAGATCATGCCGGATGCAGGAGTGGAAGACCCCAGAGGGCTGGAGGCAGTGGAAGTGGGGAGCTCAGGAACCCCGTTAGGAGGCAGCTGCTGTCTTTGCACCGCTTCTGTCAGGATCTGTGTGTGTGGTCGGTTAACCTTAGCTGCCTTCCTGTGACTCCTAGGTACTGACCGCATTGCAGAAAGACAGCCGGGAGATGGAGAAAGGAAGCCCGGCCCTCCGACACTGAGGCTGCAGAGGGAAGCCGCGCTCCGCGTGAAGCAGAGCCCCACGCCGCGGCCCCTCTGTTGTTCCAGACCGACAACTGGCAGCCGAAAGAACGGGCGCTCTTCAAGCAGGATTCCTACCATTGGAGTTGGCCTTAAACAAACACAAACTTTTAAAGAATTAAGCCAAGGCTTAGCCTTAAGCAGCTCAGTGGAAGGATGACCTGCGGTGGGCCACAGCCAGCCACTGCATCTGCAGCGCGGTTTAGCAGTGGGGCAGTGGCTCACCCCCACTCCTTTATCTCAGCAAAAGTTAATTAAATTGTAATACTCCTATGTCAACTACTGGGAAGTACATTACAGTCTTAGCCAGGATGCATGAGAGATGTTATTTGGGAGACTTACGATGCCTTGGCTTGTGTTTACGTGTTTTAGATAAGAAAGGGATTGCCGATGGAGTTACTGAGGTAATCTTTCCAGAGCTGGAGGTCATGTTTCTAAAACTCACCTACCAAAGACAGCATTAAAGGAACAGGGGCTCTCTGAGGATAGCGGCTGGTGTGTGCCCCTGGATGTCTGGGAATCCACCCAGCCTGCAGGTTGGCATCATGCCATGCTGCCTTGGCACAGCCACAGCTAGTAGGCTGCAGGTGCACCCTTGGGCTCCAGTGGGACTGCTCTGGGAGATTGCTGTCTGGCCTGTGTCCCGCAGAGGTGGAAAGTTCGAGAGGAGGAGCTATTTGTGAGGAAGGCCTGCGGCAACAGAGAAAGGCTAAGACGGAGTGGAATCAGCCCCTGTAGCTAAAAGGGTGGGGAAAGAGATACATGGATGGGGCCCTCTCCCACCAGCCTGTTTTGTAGAGGCTGGGTGGCAGCCCAGAACAGCATGTGTGGGGGAGGTGGCCCCATTTCAGCAGTGGCTCCTCTCTGCCTTTGAGCCCTGCACAGCTGGACCCATCCTAAGTGCCGGTGAGTCTCTCACGCATTTGACTGTAGAATGTGTGCTTCATGACCCGTTGTGCAGACGGAGGAGCGAGCAACACACACCCAGCCTCCCAGACAATCTCGTCAGATGCTCACCCTGTGCCATCAGCTTCCCCATCTTAGCTGACTTTGCCAAGGTCGTTGGCAAATTTTTTGTTGTAGCTTTTCCTTGATTAATTTTAGAACTTTGTGTGAGGACGTTGGTTATCCGAAATCGCAGAAATGAACTGTTTTGCAGCTGCAGTCTAAAGGAGGGACGAGTCTGTGGAAGCAGGGCCCACGTGGCGGCCCACCGGCAGGTGGTTCCTTGGGAGCGTTCTGCACACCTGGTCCCGGGCTTGGTTAATCACACCTATGTGTGTGCCTTGGGGTGGTCTGCACTCCATAGCCCTTCTCAGCCACACATCCCACCCCAGGGGGTGCCCCAGGCTGATCTCATTTCCGATGCTGGGGGGTCTCTGGCTCTGTCTGCAGAGCTCGTAAGAGGAGCCTTGGTCCGGGGCTGGGGGAGTAGAGCCGAGCTGGCGTGTGTTTTCTGGACTTCTCGTGTCTGCCATACCCAGTAATGCTCCTCTAGGTGCAGTAGCAAGTTGCTGAGCCAGTGGTTGTCCCGTGCCCTCCTTCCCAGCGCCATCATGTGTCACGTTTCCCAGACTCTGCCCTCACAGTCTCAGCTGAATCTCCAGGGAGGCTGCAGAGCGTTGTGGAGACCACTTTCTGCCTCAGCCTTTAAACGTTGATTTACCTCCTCTTGGAGGAGGCGTCCTGTCTTCACCGGGAGTCCCGGTGGCTCCAGACATAGCCATTTCCTGACATCAAGATGTTGAATGTAACCTGGACTAAGCTGGGCCTGTGGGAGGGGCCGCCTGAGGCTGCGCACCGTCGTCCTCACAGATGTACTTATTTTTGTTCCATGATATGGGCGTTCGGTTCCCTAAAGATGTATATATTTTCTTACTGTACATAAAGATGTTCCTTAAGTCGTACGGAAGGTGACGCGGCAAAGGGCCTTGTGCAGTGTGTTGAGATTGCAGCTGGGGATGGCCCTGTCTGCAGAGCCCAGCCTTTAATGTTCTGGTGAAGCACTTTCACAGCTTTCCGGATAGCACTAAGAGGCATCCAGTTTCTGAACGAGATTCCACGTCCCCAATCATAGTTCAGAAGAGGCTTTTAGGACCTGTTCAGGGATCATGTGAGGTCTCGCCACTTTCATGGGTCCTCTGGGAAAGTTCTGAGTCCGCTCCAGGGTCACTTAGCACTTTGCCACAGGGGCTGCTGGAGAGTGGAGGCTGCCTCTGTGTGCGGTGGCTGTGGTAAACTGGAACGAGACACCGACACGCCGCCCCTCCGAGGTCTGCAGGCTCCGCTTCACATGCCGCTGACTCCCCGAGTCTAAGGCTTCAGGGCCAGGACCTGCGTCCGGCCTACGAGGTAGACCGAGGCTGCCTCTCCCGCCAGGCACTGGGATCCCATTTAGAAACGGTGTTCACTTCAGAAGGTACTTTTCACTGCTCGGTTTTTGACTATTTTAAATAGTTTGCTGAAAACTCCTGGTAACGCTACATATCATGTTTTAATTGCTTGTACAGTTAACCATTAATTTTATTTAGTAAAGTGTATCGAAGTAGGACTTTTTTGAATTGTAAATATGTGGTTTTATTAAATAAAAGCCAATGTAAAATTGTTACTTACGTTCACCGTCGTTTGTTTAAAGTTGAGGTTCTCACTTTGCACATCATGCTGTTTGAGGTGTCTTCAGCTCCGCTTATCAGGCTGGTTAACAACAGATGGTACAGAGGCAGTGGAGTGAAGGGATTGGAGAGCTGAGTGTGCCCCTTGCAGGTTGGGGGAGCCGCGCCTTACACCCCATCCTTGCCAGCCCCCACCCCTCTCTCCTGGGCCTGCCACACCCTTCCTGGCATGCAGCTGTTACTTACTCTGTGCCAGCCACAGGACCAGGGCTCTCCATGTTCCCTTCAGAATCTTCTCAGAAGCCCGTGAACCTCAGAACTTTCTCAGGGCACTGAGGTCCATCTCCCCAGCGGGCGGCGGGGTGGTGCGAGGTGGGGGTCGGTGATGAGGTCTCAGGTGGACATGGCGTACAGCGGAAGGCTCTGCGAGGCCACTGAGAACTGGGCAGTGCCGGGCCGCGGTGTGGTGGGTATTGCTCTGCTTCCTGAGGCAGGAGGCTCCTGGCTGGTGGGGCAGAGCCTGGGCAGCTCTCTTCTGGCCCCTTGGTCCCAGGAGAATCCTTCGGTGTGCGACAGCACTCTCGCCTGAGCAGACATGGCTGCCCACTCTACGGGCCTCTCCCTCAGTGCCTGCTCTCCTCTCTGGGCTACTATTATGTCCTCTGCACTGTCTGCAGGCTGTGGTGGGAGGATGGCCACAGGCGTGATGGTGGCAGCAGTCACAGCCATGCCAGGTGCTAGGCCAAGTGCTGCCTGTGAGTCATCAACTCTCTGCTCTGCGGAAGAGAGGGCCATTGCCCCATTTCAAAGATGAGATGCAGGAAAGTGATGTGCATAGATCTCGACAGCAGTCAAGAGCTGGATTTCAGACTCCTGAGCCCTTGTCAGAAACACCCTCTAGGGGAGAGGACCTTTGGGAGCCTTGACCTCAACTCCAAGTGCAGGGTCTGGGGTGGGAGGGGGGTTGCTGGACTCATTTGAGCGCCTCCTGTGTGCAGGCACCACCTGCAGAGGAAGAGATGGTGCCAGCAGGGCTCACGGGCCAGGCACGGGCTGTGATGGCAGAGGTGCCGTGTGTGTGCAAACAGGAAGGGGCCGGAGTGCTTTCCTGAGTGCTGCAGCCCAGGGGAGAGCGGCTGATAGTTAAGAACCAGCCCCGAGATGTGGAGGCTGCCAGGCAGGAAGGCTCAAAGAGAATGGAGCACTGCCCCTGTGCAGTGTGGAGAGGCAGTGTGGACCTCGAGACCAGCTGTGGGTCACCAGAGAGCCACAGAGGGAAGCCTTGGGGCCAAGGGTCAATCCTCAAATGGGCCCGTGACAGGACGTGGAGGGGCTTGTAGGGTTCCCAGGGAAACCAGTGGATCTGCTTTGTGTGTTGTACAAATGTGCTCAAATATTTGCTGATGAGACTCAGGCCCTTGCCTGCCTACCCAGGAAGCTGGCCATGAACAAGAGAGGTCAGATAGGTCTTGCAGGCCCAGAGCACTGGCCTGCCCACACAGGCTCCTGTGAACATTGCCTGCAGCCAGCAGGGCCACACCACGGCACTGTCTCCCCAGACTCACTGCCGAAGCTCCATTTTCCAGGATGCCTGAACTGCCTGGGGTTGTGTGTGGAATGAGGCAAATTACCTTCTCCCCAGGCATTACAACAGAATGAGTTACTCCTGGACTCGGAAGCTTCACTCTGGACTCCAGAACCTCACAGATGATGCTCAAACATTGTTCCTCCAGCTTCTTGCCCTGCTCTGGAGCTGCTGGTAGAAACTGCTCCAGCCAAAAATAAACCCAAGTGTAAGGTGCAGTCTGGCCAGAGGTGAAGAACAGGACCCTAGGGGCTAAGTCTTGTAGCCAACCATTGCCATTTAGGGACTCTGGGACCTTGGGGAATTTTCTTGAATTCCCTAAACCTCATTTTTCCTTTCTGTTACCAAAGGTTAAAAAGGGTACCCAGCCCGGCTGGGCGTGGTGGCTCACGCCTGTAATCCCAGGAGTTTGGGAGGCCGAGGCAGGCGGATCATGAGGTCAAGAGATCGAAACCATCCTGGCCAACATGGTGAAACCCCGTATCTACTAAAAATAACAAAAATTAGCCGGGCATGGTGGCACGCGCCTGTGGTCCCAGCTACTCGGGACGCTGAGGTGGAAGAATTGCTTGAACCCGGGAGGCGGAGGTTACAGTGAGCCGAAGATTTCGCCACTGCATCCCAGCCTGGCGATAGAGCAAGACTCCGTATCAAAAAAAAAAAAAAAAGGGGGGGGTACCCAGCCCTTGTCCACTGGCTTGTGAAGATTAAATAAAAATAAGCTGAACTACTAATTATATTTACAAAAAACAGCCACAAAAACGTTGCAATGGGTTGGTAGACTCACGCCCTTCACGTGTAAACAGTATCTCATACTCTTGAACTTAAGAATTTTTTTTTTTAATTTGGGATTTTCCTCCTAAATTAAGTACATGTTTATTGCATAAAATTTGGAAATTCAGAAAAGCATGTCTTCATGTTGTTTTAAAAAACAACTGTCTTCAGTTGTTTTTAATTTTACCACCTAGAGAAAAAATACTGTTTTTAAATTCTGATCTTTTTTCCTATAAATAAAATTTTCCCATTTTACAAGTGAGTGCATTGAGGCTTAGAAAGCTGAAGTATTTGGTCCCAGGTCACAGTTGGAAGAAAGCTGAATCCAGCTCAGCCTGATGCCAAGGTCTTAGGAACATGCCATGTCTGCTCCTAGAAAGACCCTCGTATTCACCCTTGGCATTCTGTGGGTGAAATGTTAGAAGACATCATCAATTTAAAAGTCAGGGAGGGTGTAATTTTATTAAGATACATACATATTTAGCCAGGCACGGTGGTTCACGCCTGTAATCTCAGCACTTTGGGAGGCCGAGGTGGGTGAATCACCTGAGGTCAGGAGTTTGAGACCATCCTGGCCAATGTGGCAAAACCCTGTCACAGTCTACTAAAAGTACAAAGATTAGCCAGGCATGGTGGTGGGTGCATGTAATCCCAGCTACTTGGGAGGCTGAGTCAGAAAAATCGCTTGAATCCAGGAGGCAGAGGTTGCAGTGAGCTGAGATAGTGCCATTGCACTCCAGCCTGGGTAATAAGAGTGAAACTCCATCTAAAAAAAAAAAAAAATTAATCTCAAGTGTGTTAAGTCAACAAAAATGATTTTCCTTTACCGATGAAAAAGTGTTTCCTTTTCAGACCTTGGGCTCTCCTGAGTCAGTGTCTGGTTTACTCTTGCTACTGCTGCTAAAACCAGAAGGCTTCCTGCAATTTTTTTTTTTTTTTTTTTTTTTTTTTTTTTT